TCTGTGGCCTTGCGTGAACAACAGTGGCATGTGACCAAACCTCGGTTTGTTTCCATGTGGACGGAGAGTGGCTTGATTAAAGTCGGCTGGCCCCAAATGATCCCTGTCCCACGCTGAACTGGATCTGGATTAAAGTCTGCCTGCTTTCTGTCTACTTCCAAACGTTAGGGAGCTGTTGGAATGAGTGAGCTTGGGAGAGTTCATGTCCAAATCCATTTTCAACACCCCCACCTTATGTTTTCATAGGGCTGTATGCTTTTCAAAATGCTTTTATCTATAGTATTTGATCTGTCCAGTCTGTTTTTAGCTTCTATATTTCAAAGGCCAGTAATGGTTAGGTTGGAAGTGATACCTATTAGGATAGTGACTTTGAAATCATTTCCAGGTGTTTTCAACAGACTGCATCTGAACGTGAAACTTCAAACTTTGTTTCCTATAAAGAAAAGCTGCTGCTTGAATCATCCTAGACATGAGCAGCCCTTGAGAGCTTGGGGTTTGTTGTTGTTCACCCTCTTCTATTTTTAGGGAATGGCTTTAACTTACTGCAGGATGGCCGATGTGTAGTATGTGTAGGAAAACCTGAGTACATAGCTGAGGAAGAAGGAGGAGCAAAGAAAACCTCCCTGAGTGGCTGAGGAGACACAGTCTGCTCCCCACTTTGGAGTACAGACTGTGATGGAAAAGCAAGGGACTCGGAGCATAGAATAATACTCAAGTTGTGTGCATCCGGAAACTGATAACTGAGCTTTTACACTGACCACTTGGACTTTAGGTCTAGCTTAGGTTTTGTTGCTAAGGATTAAACCCAGAGCTTTATACATGGTAAACGCAAGCTCTGCCACTGAGCTACACCCGGGCCTTATCCAGTGCTAAATATTTCATGGACATAGGAAATATAATAAATACATCTCTGTACATGCATAAAATATATTGTCCATGTAGTATGTATGTAGATGTATAGTAACTCGTGCATACATATAAGATATGCCTATTGTTGCTTATGTTACTGAAGACATGGGGGAAACATTATTTGGACCAGAGTTAATTAAAACTCTGTTCTGATCCTGCTTGCCAAGCCTTTCTTGTTTATACCATACAGATGACCACAAGATCATCTGATAAATGGCCAAGAATCTATAGGAAATCTGTAGTCTTCTCTCCTTTTTTTGGTAGAAAATAAAAACTTGAACAGTCACATAGTACTGAACACAAACTCCTCATCACTCAGAACAGGCACTGATACTTGAAAAAGACAACCAACTTCACCTCTCTGGCAAAGAGGCCCATGTGAGCCAGACCTGTGGGAAATGAGAGAAAGCTTGGAAAGAGATTAGTCAGTCAGTTTAGGAGGGCATTGCATCAGTTAAAATCGGAGCGCATAGTCAGGAAAGCGGGCCCATGAAGAAGAGACCAGTGACGAGGCTGTGACCACCGCTCAAGCTCACCCAGCTCTGCCAGCAGCCTGTGTAGCATGGTTGCAGTAAGACATTTGCCCCTTCGCCCTGAGAACAGCAACAATTGCTGCCCACAAAAGGCTTCAAGGAGCACGATTGTTCCTCTTAGAGCTCAAGGATTTTAAACAGTAGGCAGCAAGAACTGAACCTTCAGGCTGAGGTTTTAGAAAAGGGAGACTCAATCCAGTTTCCGAGCTGCTGGCTAGCTGAGATTACAGGCAGAGGCCACCTTGAGGCATTTCTCTCACGAAAGATGTGATCCCATGGGGTTATAATGGAGCTGACAAATTTCTCCAGCCTGTGGATATGGTAGCCATCCCAAACCAGTTATACACGACTCTCACATGCCTGTGCGGATGCTGGTGTGAAGCCCAGCATGCTCCAAATGCATACAGATGAAGGAAGCACACTCCGTTCTGTGTATTACCTAGTGCTTGAAGATGAGTCACTGCCACCGCCGGCTTACCTGAGCACCATACTTTGAATTGTCATTTCAGCATGTGCGTCTACTTAGTTAGAAGTTAACTGTGTTGTGACCGCGGGGACTTGCTGTGTCTTCAGGCTTGCCTCCGCTCGGTCCTAGCAAGAGGTCAGGGCTCTAGGTCTGTGTAAGTTCCCCCCATGTTGTTTAGGCAGTGACAGAAGCCCCGTGACGTGTTGCACGTCTCAGAACGTACGCACGCGTTACTAGGGAAAGACAGTGGTCGCACAGTGTCGGGAGGCATCCGGGGGCCACCACAGTTGGCAGCAAAGCCTGCGTCAGCCATGCGAGAGGAGGCGAGGACTCTGGAGGTTGTAGATCCGAAGTGGACATGGAAATAGCAGAACCAGGCCACAGACTGTATCCTCTCCACAGCTGGAGCCACCAGCTGCGCTCTGGGAAATCTGATTGGCCCTGCAGGGTAAGAAAGGGGGGCTGTCAGTTCTCAGGAGCCAGTTGTTAACTTTCACAAAATTTGCCAGCCAGTTGTTAAACTTGGCTATTTTTAAAGACTAAATTATGCACATTTATTTAATGTTTTCCCCCCTGAAACACAGTCTGTCTCAGGCCCAGGCTGGTCTAAACTTACAGCAGTCAGTCTAACTTCTTTGGCCTTCGGAGTGCTGCCGTTACTGCAAAATTATATGAAACTCATGAAATTCTATTAGAAACAAAGGCATTAAGTGGATCAGACATAGGTGGCTGCTTCTGACCGTAGCAAAACTCCCTGACACCAGAGCACCCGGGGTCTGGAAACAATTTGCTGGGCGAGAGGGGTTTCGGCCCCCGCCCCGGCAGCATCTGTTCCGCCCACTGCTTGCAGTGAAGGCGCGTGCCTGTCCCTGCACATGAGTAGACTGCGGTGGTGGCCTTTCCTGGAGAGGTGCTGTGTTGTTTCAGTGACCTTTCTCCCTGTTGCCCTTTGACCTCTGCCCCCCCCCTTTAAGGTCTTAGTTAAAAGTGGGAAGAAGACTGCCTAGAGGAATTTAAAAATAGGCAGAAGTAGGAATTGCGCATATCAAAGCTTCCAGATACAGATGTGGTGGAGGACCATGGCGCCTGTACCCTGCTATGGTGGAAGACAGAGCTGTCAGCTGTCTGTTTCCCTAGGAAATGCATATAGCGACCTCCTAGAAAGGAAAAGTAGCAAAGGCCAGAGCTGCAGCCACAGTAAACACTACAGTCCTACTGAGGGTGATTGCCTTTCTTTAAGACTGCGTCTCACCACGGAGCCCAGGCTGTCCTGGAACTCACTACGTAGACCAAGCTACCCTCGAACTCAGAGATCTGCCTGCCTCTGCCTCCCAAGTGCTGGGTTAAAGGTGTGCAGCACCATACCCAGCGTGGCCTATATTCTTTGGTGTTCTCATTTATATGGTGAAGCTATCCAGCTTTTGTTAAGTCCTTTAAATTATTTTTTTTAATTTTTTGACTCATCTCTTTTGTATTTTGTAGCTTTTGCCAGAGAGGTGGAAAAAATGAATGGAAAGGGCTGGAGCTAGAACTGTGTGTCGGATCCTTGTCTAGAGTTTCTGGATATGGTCCACAGCATGAGAAAAGAGAGCAGGAGGAGGCATGGGAGAGAGAGAGAGAGGAGGTTATAGAGAGAGAGTGAAGTCAACTCTCCTTTCATTCTTTTAAAGATTTACAAGCTTGGTAATGTCTTGTAGCCTTTCTCTTTTTCTTTCCTTCTGTTTTTGCCGTGTTTCTCTTAAGAAAACTGTAGCTGTCGTGTTGAACAGCCGCACAGGTAATGTTACTGCTCACCCTGCCTGCATGTTTATCTTCACTTATGGAGTCCAGGTCCATATTTTAGTTTTTGAAAATGGGTTCTAACCACAGAATCGAGTAGTGGGGTTCACCCTGTGGCTTTGCTGTGCACTCTGTCTTCTGGGGGTTAAGTACCCGCTGCGAGTTCATGTGCAGCGAGTTTGTCTTGGCAGAAAAGGCCCAGCATAGTGGACATAACAGGCAGATTTCATTTGCTTCTGTTACCACAGCGGGGGGAGAAAGTCTCCTTACTCATCAGGTAAGCAGTAAACTTCTCGTTCATCCCACTCTGGGATAAGAAACTGGCTGGTTCCTCCGTTTACCGCGAGACATGCTTTTGCTGTAGATGGTGACTTCATGCCGCCCAGCCTGCAGCCCACTTGTCAGCAGTGGAGGGGTCCTCGGCTTCCTGACTGTTTAGTTAGCTAACACTGGGGTTCCCAACGCGGGATGTAATTCCCCGGATGGCCTGAGGCTGGCATGCTAGAGAAGCAGTTGAATCTGCTAGACTTCTGCAGATCGCTCTGTACTGGCTGGGCCACTCTGCTTGTCCATTGGGAATGTGGGTTTAGTCCGTTCCTCTGGTTTGTCCCTTCAGGAAGGTAGAGCTGGACCCTGATTGACAGTGAAATGTACTTTAAGGGAAGTAGGAAGAACTGAGGCTCTCTGGAGAAGACTGATGATAAGGATTAACCCTCAGCTCTACCAGGAAACTAAGTTTAAGGCTCATCCCTCCTGCCCGGCCTTTGCTTTCCCATGGACAGAGATGCTCCTGAAGCTGGTCAGTTAGCACTACTAAGTCCCTGAGGGTGAGCACGTGCCACCGTCCAGTTTGGTTGACATACACTGTGCTTCTGTGGCTCCCTGTGGGTACCCTAGTGCTGGTGGCTGATCCTCTGTGTCTTACTACACAAATTAGTCTGAGATAAGACACTTAGAACTTGTATGATCTTCAAAGGTGATGACATACTTCAGTGGAAAAGAATTCTGAACCACTGATTATAATTTAGTGTAGTCAGAGCAGGTCACTTTCTTCCACGCTGTTTCAGCATGCTGTCCATCTTTTCCCACCTCTGAAGTCGGAATACCAAAGATGTAAATGGCTGTCATGGGGACAGAGACATGACTAACCCTGTCCACGAACCCCCCACTAATGTGTGCTGCTCGGGTGTTCTGCTCTAGGGCATGCCAGATAACCTGGCGGGGTTCTACTGGGCAGACTTCCTAGCACTGTGTACTTTTTAGGGAATCCTCTGTTTGGTTTTGTTACAGTGTTGGCTGCAATAACTCCCCAAGAAATGTAACAGCTGCCAGCTGACCCTCTTCACAAACAGAGAACACAAGGACCTATTGTAAACCCAGAAATGATCCTCAGAAGACATTCAGCTCTGCGAAGCCACGGGACACATTCTCTGCACATCCAGAGCCTTTGTTATCATTACCTTTCTTCAAGCTCCATCCATCAGATTCGGGGAGGGTGTCATCAGACCTGTTGTCAGCTGGCCTCTGCTCCAGTCTGTGGAGCAGGGACAAAGAGCTGGTGACTTAGTAATGAAAGCGACCCAAAGTGGTGTCATGACACTGCCTGCTAAGAAGACGAGTATTTCCCCAAAATAAGACTAACTCTCCAAAAAAGCAAGTGAAAGCTGCCTGCCTGCTTAAAAAAAAGTAACAGATTACTGCCAAGTTTATTTCTATCCTGTGTGCATGAGTAGCAACCTTTCCTCCTCCCACAGTTGAGAGTCCTACTTTCTGCTTTTGACTCTATATCCCAGGGCCCCTGTCATTAATGCTGGGGCCAGGGCCTTGGCTGGTTTTGCGGTCTCCCTTCGCACACAGTCTTGGGAAGAAGTGGCCGTGGCTCCCAGGGCCTTTCACCAGCAGCCCTCTTGTTTTCTTCCTTCCGGGTACCTGCTAACCGTGCAGGCTCCAGACTCATCAGGCTGGCTGCGGTTTCTGCCTGCAGTTGTCGGCCTGCTGTTGCCTGCGCTGGCCAGCTGTTCCAGGGATTAATCCTGACTTCATACCACATCTGACTCTGTGTCCGTCATACCTATAAAATATCATTTATAAACAGCTTGCCACCCCCTGCTGCCAAAGTTGTCCTTTCTAATGGGGTAACACTTCAGGTTCAGGTGACCACTGTGGGAACCTCACTTTGCTTCAAGAAAGAAAACCTAAGGCTGACTTAGCAGCTGCCGCAGACTGAGCTCACAGCGAACCTGCTGCCAAGCACAAACTGAAGACCCATTTCCAGCAACTAGCTCCTTAGAGATGTACCTCTGGGGCAGCTGATCTTCTTTTTAACCTGAACATATTTTGTTCAATTTCTACATGAGGCAGGGAGGGAGTTGGATTTGGGTTGGGGTATAAAAACCGAATTGTTGGGGAAATAGCTTTTGAGTGTTTAAAAGCTAGCTAAAACTAGAGGTGGTGGTGGTGTCGGGAGGAGTGGGATTGGAGGATGCGGATGGAGTGGGAAGAACCGTTCTTCAGTGGAGAGAAGGCACATGAATTCCAATGGTTGTGGAGAGAAGCAATATTATGACTGCCTTGTTCCTCGAGAACAGCCCTCATACCAGAAGACACTGAGGCCAGAGCAGCAGAGGGACCAGCCCTGGCCTGGCAGTGAGGCAATCTCCAGAACCATCCGGGACTGTGCAGTGAGGGCAGCCTGTGCCCACCCTCCCCTCAGACTCCTTCTCTGTAAGATGACTTACTCTGAGGACCTGTGGGTTTATAATATATGGTTGTGTGTTTAACTTGGGGACAATGCTGTTGTTTTCGGAGCTTTAAAGAGATGCTTTAACTAAAACAAAGAGTGAGAGGGGATTTTTGTTTCCCTGCTATGATACTGGATGTGGAACCCTGGCTGCTTCCATGGCTCCCTGGAGGCTTTTCCCACTTTCTGAGGATACTCAGTAATATTGCCACAGCCTTCTTCTGCTATCTGAGCAAATCCCATAGGCCATTTTCTTAATGTGTGCTAGTAATGTGAGGAGTGAGCTCCCAAGGGTGATTTCAGCATGTGTTGCATTATCTTCTGGAGTTCAGAGGAGTAGCAGGTACAGAGAACTGGTAGAAGGACCTGGGAAGGTAATTGAGGTGTCAAGGAAGAAGAGAAGAGACATGGCAGGGCAGTCCTGCATCTGAGCATTAGTTTCAAGAGGTCTGTTTCTTTATTTGCCTTTTGACCCAGTGTTATTGATCTCATGGCTGAACCCTTTGGGAGATAGGAAAAACACCTGTAAGAGCTGTCCTCTGGAAGACATTGGGTCACAGTAATGTCCCCTATACCCACAGAGAGTATCCAAGAATCTTTGGCACCTGTGAGCTCAGCCCTGGGGATTCCGGGTTAGCTGATGAACACATTCCAGATAAGAATCCGTATAAACTGGTGGGCTTCGGTGATTGTTAATCTAATGATAGTGCCACAGACAGGCTTGGCAGCCTTGAGAACTAGTTTGCACTAGTCTGGTTAATCTACTGATAGTGCTGCAGACAGGCTTGACAGCCTTGAGAACTAGTTTGCTCTAGTCTTTCTGATGAGAATTTCTTTATAGATGCTACACCAGCATTTCTGATTCGTGCTACTGTTGATCCCTTAGTTTGCACTAGGGACAGTTGACTAATCAATCAGGAGTCCTCTAGTTTGAGCAAACACATCCCAGTGTTCCTGATGGAGTAAAGGAGCCTCCCTCTTAGGAGGACATTCCTAAGTTCTGGGTACTCCATTGATTTTGATCAATAAGATCAGTTCGATCAATTAGAGATGACCACCATCCCACCCCACAGGATGTTGGGGGTCTTCGCCTTGAAAATCACATACATAAGGCTGTCATGTTACATCTGTGGAGATGTGCCATTTGAAGTGACCTTCACATTGTCCTGCTGATCTGTGTTCTACAGGGTACGTTTCCTGGGATGTAGGCTGAGGTTTTAATCTCGCCATGGCTGGATCTTGACAGTGGTGATAGTAATGTAGATGTAGACACACAGCAGTCCTCTGGTGACACGTTGGATGTTAGCAGTAGAGAAGTAAGTGTATTTGCTAGAACACTGTTTTGTTTCTTCCAGAAATAAAGACAAAACCATAGTGTAGACTTCTGCGTTTTTAATTTTTGGACATCTTCCAATGGGTGTTTAAAAGAACTAGACTGTGGAGAAGCCATAGCATGTCAAAAACCAGAAAGTAGAGAGAAGAGAGCGGGCAAGGGGAGGCAGACTGCGCATAGTCGAATAAGGGGGGAAGGGGGGTTTGAGGCCGGGTGTCTTCAGTGGTCGCTCAGCAGTGCAACACATGCTGTGTCAGCACTGGAGAATGGGGGGTGGGGATGGAAAAGATGAGCAGACCAGTCGGGGCTGCTTCTGTTTCCTGCCAGACTATGACAATGTACTGTACGGCTGGACTTACTTCATTCAATATTCTGTTGAGAGATCCATCGCACACATAATTCTCATTTGTTTATTCTCATCACTCTGTGTGTGCCTACTATACTTTATCCACTATTCTCTTGGGAGATAGTTAAGTAATTTTTCCAGTATTTGCCTGTTATGAATGTTGTTGCTTTGAATGTTCTCATGAATGTCTTGGTGATTATATCTGCATGTTTCTATTGGGAGAGAAATTGCTGGGTCATAGAATAGGCATATGCTTATGTTTAGCAAATAAGAATTTCGGTTTCTGACAGAAGCATCTGAGAGTTCTGGGTACTCCATATCACTACTAACAATTGTTTCTGCTTTCCTTTTCATTTGAGCCATTTCTTTCTTTATGAGGTCGTATCCTATGTTAGTTTCCCCAATGACTAGTGAAAATAAATGCCTTTTATTTGTTGAACATCGATTTCTGTTTGTGAAAAGCCTGTTAGATATCTACTTTTCCTTCCTGGCCTCTTTTTATATTGAGCTGTGGGTATCCTTCCTATCTTCTTAGTGTGTAGATGTCCCTGGCTGAGCATATAGACTGCAGACACCTCTTCCCACCTTCGGCTCTCCAGTGATGTCTTACTGTATTTTAATACGATCTAAGGCTTCATAATTCCTCTGTGGTTAGTGTTTTGTATACCTATTTTATGAAGTCTTTGCTTACTCTAAAGTCAGATTTTTTTTATTTATTTGAAAATTTTTTTCATATAATGTATTTTGATCATATTTTCCCCTCCCCTAACTTCTCCCAGACCCTCCTCACCTCCATAAACCCCAACTTTATGTTCTTTTTCTCTCCTAAAGAATAATCAAAACAAATGAAATACCAATAAGATTTTTTTTAAAATACCAAAACAGAGGAGGCACTCACCACCTCCCCCACCCCATCCCCCACAACCATCAAGTTAGTTCGTGTTGGTCAACTATTTCTGGGCATGGGGCCTGCCTGAGTGTGCTTGATATATCTATATCCAGTGACACTCCACTGGAGAAAACTGGTTTTTCCTTTGCAAGTAGGTATCAGTTGCAAATAGTTTCTTTGTTAGGGGTGAGAGCTCATGTCCATTTCCCTGTCTCATTGCTGGGACTCTGTCTGGCTTGAACCTGAGTAGGTTGTGTTTATGCTGCCACAAGCCATAGTGTCTGTGGGTTCATATGTGCGTCAGTCTTGCTATGCTTGGAAGACTGTTTTCTTAGAGTCGTCCATCACCTCTGGCTCTTAGAATCTCTCTGTTGCCTCTTGTACATAGATCCTGAGCTTTGATGGAAGGGTTTGATGAAGACATCCCATTTAGGACTGAGTGTTCCACTCTCTCAGTGGTTTATAACCTCTTGATTCCAGCCACGCTCTACAAACACTTCAAAAGTTCTTATAGCTTGTGAAGAAGTTTTCAGTGTAAAATTGGCAACATTTTTTCATTTTTAAAAGATCACATGATACTGACACTACTTCAGTCTGTCTTATTATAATTGTTTTCCTTCTATTTTATGTATATAATCCTATTTACATAAAATTTTGTATTCTACTTTATCTCAGTGATCGCCAAAGTCAGTTTATTTAATGGTTGTGTAGTATTCCGACAGGTATACATGTTTGCCCAATCTCTAGACATTGAAGCTGCTCTTACCTAGTTAGGAAACACTGCTTGCTGTCTTGCAGAAATATGTTGTACTGAAGGTAACAAATAGAATGGCCGTATTGATTCTGAGCCCCATCATTAGTTATTTTCACTTGTTTTTAATTGAGTCAACATTAATCCATCCCTTACAGTACCAGTCTTTTTGTTTTTTAGTTTGATTGCTTTTCACACCATTGTCCGCCCGTGTTTTTAAAATACATAATTAAAACCCATAACCACTATGGTATAAAATTTTTTCTGAAATTTAAGATGATATTAATTGAAAAACTGAACTTGAACTGTTTTTTACAATTAAAAATTATTTATTTATTTATTTTTACTCAGTGGGTGGGCACGTGCCTGTCACCCTTCCTGTGTGGAGGTTGGGGACAGCTTGTAGGAGTCAATTCTCCCCTTCTATCCTGGGGATCCTGGGGATCCTGTGGATCCTGGGGATTGAACCCATGCCATCTCACCTCCCCTGGACTTGAAGTTCTGATGAGAGAGAAAATGTGGTGGTTTCCCTTTACTTTGGGCCCTGGTAACAGAGCTGTCTTCCAGGCTGCTGCCTCTTACTGTGGAGGTAATGCGCACGCGCTCTCTGGAAATGGGCATTCGCTTGAATTGAACTGATACATCTTGCGTAAAATTTAGTCAGCAGTCTTGGAACATAGCTCAGCGGCACCCACGCTGCATCGAGATGCAGACACATGGGAGAGCCTCAGCTACAAAGTCAGCTAGGGGTTCAGTAAGGCGGCAGTAACGGACTAAGTTCCAGCACTGCCCCAGCAGTTACCAGCAGAGACTAAGCTACTGTTCCTGGTGTGGCCCTGCAAGGGAGGGCTACACAGCCGGTGGTGACGTGACCTCCCAGGGACTTTGGAAGTTCTCACTAAAGGCTGAACACGTGGTATGCTGGGTGACTTCTTCTGAGACTTCTGTAAGTTATCTAACCATTGGGATGGGCAAATGTTTGGCTGTCCCCAAGTGTAAACAATATAACTAAATCAGACCATTTGCAGCAGATGAATTGATCATGGTGGAAACCATTGAGAGCTTTGCTATCTATTTAAAAATACCAGCAAATCAAAAAAAACAAAAAACAAAAAAAAGGATAGAAGAGAAGTGATAAATTTAGGGAGGTAGATAGGCTTAATCTTATTGAAATATCCCACAGTGTAAACACGTCAAAGTATTGCAGGGTACTCCATTAACATAAAGTTTTTATGATTTTTACATACAAGGTAAAAAGTGAATTTTAAAAATGCTATAGGAGTAGCCACACTAACAAAACACAAGAACTGATCTTGTCTTCATCTGCCTCCCGTGGTCCTCAACACAGCTGGAAGCATGAGCCATTAGTACAGTACTTAGTGAGATAAACTTCTAAAAGTACACAAATGGTTGCTCCTTCAGCAGCAGGGTTGGGTTCAGCCTCAAATCCCTGTGTTAACCAATGAGATGCCGAAGGCCATTCCCGGCCTCCTGACCGGCCTTTGAGTAAAGTAGTGACCACTAGAGAAGTGTTCCCTGCTAGTGGTTAAGGGTCCAGGAGAGTCACCGAGTGGTGCAGGCCCAGTACTCACGTGACAGCCTGCACAGGCAGAATCCCGAGGTGAGGGCCTGTGTTTGGGGCTGAGAGTCAGCACAGCCTTCAATCTCAGGCTGTTCAGCACTTCACTCTGGGGAAGACCTTGATTAACCTAAGGAACAGACCGTTCCCCATCTGATGGGAACCCAAACCTCCCTCTGGACACCGGGCGCACAGGCACAGGGAGATCCGACAGTCCAAAGAGCAGTTTCAGTTTCTGGGCTCAAGTTGATTAATACTAATGCAATCCATTCAAAGCATAATCCCAGGGTTTATTACTCTGTGATCACTCAAACAGTGGGGGTATTCATTCAAGCCCCAGGAGCAACAAAAGGCTGTTTTGTTGTTGTTGTTGTTGTTGTTGTTGTTATTGTTGTTGTGTTTATTTTTAGCTCTGTTTTTAGATAAATATTACCCTAATAAAAGTAGGAATTTTGCTGAGATCATTTGTTTAAATGTGTGAGAACTAAAGGGATAACACTCTTGACACTGAGTACAGATTTTCCTAGGCATATGTTTATATTTCACTATGCACTTAAGGTTATAATTTTAAAGTATGTGCATTTTAAAACGTGAAAGCTGCACTTCAGGTGTGTTTCTGTGCATGTATGTGGGGCAGCACATGTCTGGGGGGGGGGGCAGCACATGTCTATGTACAGTGTAGAGGGTGGAGGAGAGCCTCGAGTGACATTCTCAGAATTGCTGCCTACCTCCTTTGAGACAGACTCTTTCATTGGCCTAGACGTCAGTAATTAGGCTACACTTGATGACCAGTGAGCCCAGGAATCCTCCTGTCTCCTTCCCCAGCACTGGGATTACAGAACACACTTCCACATCCAGCATTTTCACATGCTTTCTGGGGATTGCACTCAAGTCCTCATGCTTGGAAGGCAGTACTTTACATCCTGAGATATCTCCTCAGCTCCCAAGAGATACACATCTCAGTGAACTCAAAACAAAAAACCCAAAAGTTTACAAGGTACAGAAATATGGAAAATATAAAAAGGCAGTTAAGATCGTTATCAACATTTTAAAATTTGCAGTCCTTTAAGTGGTGAATAGTCCAGTGAACACCCACGTACTCATCCAGGTTTAACTGATTTGGACGTTTTCCTGTAATGGTATCCCTTCTTCTCTTACTATTGGGTGGTCACCTGAGGAGCCTTTGTTGTGTCTCTCCCGGCTCCGCCAGAGCTCCCAGCTGCCCCGGAGTGTCCCTGTTTTGAGGCTGGTGTGTAGTTTACACTCCCCTGCTTTAAAGGTGTCTGTAGGAGAATGCATAGATACATACAGAGTGAATTTTTAAACTTTGAATAATAGATACTGTTTGTGACTTGTGCAACATTTTTCTTATGCTGTTTCTTGTTGTTTTACCTTGGTGGATGTGAGGGAAGTTAATTTGGTTCTCTGAGGAAGGGACTCACTCTGTAGCCTAGGCTGTTCTATATCTATTAGTTCATGGTCCTCTGTCTGGCTCGGGCTCTGCAGTATTAGGACTATAAGCATGTACCACCATGCCCACCTTCAGGGATTTTTTTTCCCACCCATGTTGATTCCATTGTCTGAATTTATAACGTAATTTTTCTCTTCTTCCGTTAACAGTTATGGAAAGTGGCTTTCAGGTTTGTGGGTGTTGTTTTTCCCCAGCACCAGGAATGCAGTGTAAGACCTGCATGTGTTAGGCAAATGCTCACCCAAGCTAGATCTCTAGTCTTCTTGCTTAAGTATTTAGTCACAGGGTATCTTAGTCAGTGTTCTGTTGCTATGAAGAGGCATCATGATCAAGGCAACTCTTATAAAAGAAAGCATTTAATTACAGGCTTGCTTACAGTTTCAGAGGTTTAGTCCATTGCCATCATGGCAGAGATCATGGCAGCAGGTAGTACTGGAGAAATAGCTGAGAGCTACATCCTGATCTACCAGCAGAGAGAGAGAGAGAGAGAGAGAGAGAGAGAGAGAGAGAGAGAGAGAGAGAGCCTGCCCTTGATGTGAGCTTTTGAAACCTCAAAGCCCCAGTTACACCCTTCCTCCAACAAGGCCATACTTCCTAATCCTTCTCAAATAGTGCCACTTTCTGGTAACTAAGCATTCAAATAATATGAGCCTCTGTTGTCTATTCTTATTCAAACTACCACATTCCATTCCCTGGCCCCAAAGGCTTGTAGTCTATTCATGATGCAAATTGCATTCAGTCCAACTTCAAAAGTCCTCCCAGTCATTCACCATCTCAACACTACTTAAAAGTCCAAAGTCTCTTCTGAGACTCACGGCAGTCTCTTGACTGTAAGCCCTATAAAATCAAAACCAAAAAGCAAGTCACATACTTCCAAAAGACAATGGCACAGAATATGCATTACCATTCCGAAAGGGAGCATAGTGAGGAAATACTGGACCAAAACAAGACTGAAACTCAGCAGGGCACACTCAAATTCTGCTTCTCTGTGTCTGATATCAAAGTATTCTTCATATCGCCAGCTCCTTTCAGCTTTGTTAACTGCAACATACTTCTCTCTCCTGGGCTGGTTCCATATCCTGTTAGCTGCTGTCCTTGGTATGTGTCCTATGACTCTGACATCTTCAACATCTTGGGGTTTCCAGGGCAATCTAGGCTTCCCCTTCACAGCTTCATACATAGGCCTCTCGGAGTCTCCACGCAGAAACACCCGGCACAAGCCCCGGCCTCACTCCCAGTCTTTATTTCCTTAGCTGTGGAGGGAAATTCTACAACCTCTTTCTTGTATTCTTGACTCTAAAGCCAGAACCATGTGGCCAAAGCTGCCAAGTTCTGCTCCAGATCTCCTCCCATTACATTTGCATCAGCTTTCTGCTGTAGATGCTTTCTTTTACTTCTTGAGCTGTTCTTTAGTTCCTTTTCACAAGTTGGAAGCTGCTGGGTGGGATCTTGCCCTGAGGTCACCACTCCCTTTATTCCATTTAGCATCAGTCTTTTCTTTAAACTTTGTAACTCCTTGAGCACTGGACTCAGCTTCATTGCACTTCCCAGAGCTCCTTTTCCCCTCAAACTGTGCATTTTGTATTTTCTTTGCCTAGCTTTCTTCTTTTCATTACAGATCTGTAGAAGAGTATTACTAATAACGTGACAGAGTCAACACTAGGCTGTCTTGAAATCTCCTCTGCCAGTGGCATTAATCTAAAACTCTTCAA